TTCTTGACATCATACTACATTGGTACCTGATCCCTGATCCTGAATGGAAGATCAAGCTCAGATAAGACATAAGCCAGTACATGGTAAAATGTTCCTGCCTGAGGTATACACTATGTAGTTATTAAGAACACCGGTGAAGTAAATATAGGTGCCTATTAAAATAGGCAGGAAATAGGGGCTTCCCTGGTGGTGTAGTGGTTAAGAATCTGTCTGCCAATGCAGGGGACATGGGTTCGAGTCCTGGTCCGGGAAGATCCCATATGCCTCAGAGCAACTAAACCCATGCGCCACAACTACTGAGCCTGAGCTCCAGAGCCCACGTTCCACAAGAGAAGCCGTGGCAATGAAAAGCCTGTGCACCACAACCAAGAGTAGGCCCTGCTCTCTTGCAACTAGAGAAAAGCCTGCTTTCAACTAGAGAAAAGCTTTCTTGCAGCACCCAACACAGCCAAAACTAAAATTAAAAAAAATAAAATTAAAAAAATCAATTAAAAAAAGACAAAGCAATTTCTTCCAAGTTTAAAAAAAAATAGACAGGAAATAATATAACTATCTAAAAGTGAAAGGATTTGTTATATAAATAAATATAATTGTCAATTCTATCACTGGAAAAAACCTTGGTAGAAAAATTCAAGCAAACAAACAAACAAAAAAACAACAAAATAAACAAAATCCCAAATACCATAATAGGTGAATTGATTTTCTCGTCAGTGCTATGCTGAAATTTCCAGTTATTGATGGATTTTCTTATATCACCAGTATAAAGTTGATTGCTAAGAAAGAGGTGAGGAACTAGAATATACTATTCTAAAATTTTAAGTCTTTTGGTCAATTAAAAAATGCATCAAGCAAGAGATCCACAAATTGTGTGGATATACACTTTATGTGTGTAAAACAGGAACTAGTATTAATTTTGGTTTTGGCTTCTCAATAGCAGCATCTCAGTGCTAAAATTAATATCAGATGCTAAGACTACAGTCCCTGTAAGAAAATTCTGAATCACCCGGAGTCCTCTACTGTAGAAACAGCCATCTGTAGAGAAGTCTTGTTGTAATAATCAGGTAAACAGAGTGCCATCAAGCATTTTAATGGAAAGCAGCAGTTCTCATGGGAGACCCTATGGAGTCTGGGAGGTCACAGTGATTTTTCATATGGCCTGCGAGGTTAACATATTTTTAATAATGATACTGAGATCTTATTTGACTTTTTCACTGTGTTTACATTTGCACTGGTGATCCAAGGAGAAAACTGCTGATGAATAAAAATAGTAGTACCAAGTTACGTATAGTGTTCTCTACTAACAGTTTAAAAATCCAAATTTCACATGAGTGTACTTGAGGCAGTGGCAAAATTATTATTTTTTTAAATTATAATTTATAAGTATATGCCTTTTTACTAATGTGTGTGAATCAAAGGGGAGTATGCATAAAGTATACTTCTCTGCATGCTGAAGTGTGAAGGTTACCTCCAGAAGAAGCAATTTGTGATTATTTGATGTGTGAGAGCAACTAGCTGCTTATTTTCATGGCAGACGATTTTACTTGAAAGAACTAGTATTCAAACCATGGTTATGCAATCTTAGGTATTAGGTAGACATTTTTTCAAAAACAAAATAAGACTGTCACTTCAAGGAAAACAACTAACAGTATTCGTTGCCAATGATAAAAATTGAGTTTTAAAGCAAATATTAGAATTTTGGAAAAATCTAAAATGCACCCTTTTGCACTTGACAGCTTTACAATACTTAAAGACACTCTGGTGAGATTGGAGGGGATATTCACAGATAAGATTTTTCAATATTTTATATTGATATGTGTTGACATTTAGGTTACCTGAATAACTCAAGGAACCAATATTTTTCTGGACATAGTATAAAATTGTGCATGGGTAGAACATTCATTCAAAATGTAAGATAAAACAATGGATTTTAATTTACAGAATATGAAAAGTTCACTGATTGGATTTTACATTTCACATTGCAACTAATGTTTAACAATCTATGACTTACCAAGTTTTGGTGTAATATCAAAGATGAGTATTCCCAGTTGATTGAAAATGCTACTTAAGTACCCTTATTATTTCCAAGTACATATCTATGTGAAGGCTGAATTTTTTCAACTACTTCAACAGAACAGTTACTGGACAGACTGAATGCAGAAACATATATAAAAATCCAGTATCTTCATTAAGCTAGACATTAAAGATATTTGCAAAAAATGTGAAACCACCAATCTTCTCATTATTTTTATTTGTTGATTTGGTAACTGTATTTATTTTTTATAAAAATATATTGAGGTTTTTATGAAACAAATTTATCTTTTCATTTTATGAGTTAAATAATAAATATATTTTAAACTCTTCTGTTTTCATTTATAGTATAGTAAATACTGATAAATATTTCCACGTAAAAAAGCTCTTTGCAGTCAAAATAATTTTTAAGAGCACAAAGATGAAAATGTTTGAGAATCACTTGGTACAGTGAATCTAAAAGCAATTTCATAATAAAAATTTTTTTGAAGAAATAATCATAGTAGGATCACAAAATATTTTATACAGCACATCTTTGAGCATCTACTATTCCAGGCCCTGGGGAAACAGGAGCAGAAGAGGCCTGTAGATTCCATGCCTGCAAGGAGCTCAGGTCATAGTAAGGAAGCCATCAAGGAAACTTATGAGCAAATAAAAACTACATTCAAATAGTGGCATCTCTTATAAAGAATAAAAAACAAATTATGGAAATAAAGAGTGACTAGGAGACATGCATGGGAGGTCACTTCATTTTGGGAGGTCTAGGAAGGCTTCTCTGATGAGGTCACAGATGTTGAGAAGCAGCCAGACTAGTGAAGAAGGGCTTGGGGAGATGATGAAGGGACTTCTGGAGATAGGACTAGAGGGCAACTTTCTGGAAATGGTGGAAAATTTGGCAAAGAAGACCAGTCTCACTGAACTTTAAACATAGAAGAAAGTCCAATTTTATCTTCTTTATAATTATGAGGGAAAGGTTACTTTTCTGATTTTTCTGATTTTCTTCAGAGAAGACTGAGGAATTAGAAAAATTTAAACCTTACTCAGTGTCATACAGCCAATAATTTAGAGAATAAGGCTTTGAAAACTCTATTACAAACCAATCCAATATAATAGCTCTCTTAGGAGAAGTGGTCTTAAATAAAATAAAGTGGTGGTAGTAGTTGATGAGAGGGACAGTGTAAATGTCCAGAGAAATTTAACAGTCTCCACTTGCTTTAACTCTAAACACAAGTAAAGTGCCTTTTATATGTTCACAGCTGTGTTGGATATCGTAGGGAGGGAAAATTTCACTTCATATCTGTTAAAGAACCAATATTACAAAATGGAGGTCAAACGACCGAATGGCATTGAATGTAAACAGAATAAGTCCTCTAGAGAAAAGAACAAGAAAAGACAAGGTTAAGAATTGCCGTACAGATAGCTGAGATCACCTAATTTTTGGTTTTGTTTTATACTCATTTCTTTTTAACATCTTTATTAGAGTATAATTGCTTTACAATGGTGTGTCAATTTCTGCTTTATAACAAAGTGAATCAGTTATACATATTTGTATGTCCCCATATCTCTTCCCTCTTGCATCTCCCTGCCTCCCACCCTCCCTATCCCACCCCTCTAGGTGGTCACAAAACACCGAGCTGATCTCCCTGTGCTATGCGGTTTTTATACTCATTCTTAAAACAAAAGTTAAATGTGCCCTACTTTCACAAAATTAAAAAAGTAGTTTGCTTATCAAATTGATAAATTAACAGATTATTATATAAATTATAGAAAGATTCTATCATTTTCAATGAATTTGCTACCTAGTGACTGACCTTAATTCATTTAACTATAAGTTAACAGATCACAGTATTTCACACAGAGGTAGAGAGCAAAGAATTTCAGAGTTAAATATTAGGAAATACTGCTAACTGCAAACCAATTAAAAATTGAGATAGACTTTCAACATAAATTAGGAATAAATGGTAAAATATAAGGACTTACTGATGTTGGATTTATATTAAAATTTCTAGAACCTATTCAGTGTGAATTTGTAAGATATTGGGTTTTCATTTGATTAAAAACAAATCAAGCAAACAAAAAAGCACCCTGGATACCACGGTATCATAGGTGTCACATAAATATTTAAATGTATTAGCCAAAGAGAAAACAGTAAGTAATGAATTATCCTTTTACTTTTTGAAGTATTTCCTTAAGTTATGAATATACACAATTTCCCCCTACCCGTGAAGGAAACATTTGACTATATTCAAATATGTCATGTTCTTATAGTCTTCTGTTTTTATTTTTCTTAAAGCACTCTTCATTTTTATATGTTAATTTGAATATTTCATCAATATCTCCTCTATTACACTATAAACTCCTTAAGGACAGTCACTGTGTGACTGTTTATTCACCTTAGACCATAGTGGATAGTAGAATTTCAATATTTCAAAAAATTTTAGTAGAATATATCAGTGTGTTTCTTCTGTTGACAAACAGGCTTTTATGCTGTCCTGCTCCACTACCCTCTGCCCCACAGGTAAACATTTCTGTATCCAGAAGCAGATTATCTGAAAGGAATGTCACCAATAATGAAAATTTAAGCACAATGACAACTTTTTGAGAGTAATATTTTATAATTAAACACTACCTTAAATAATACATCACATACATGACTGTCAGTGTGCTTATATTTGAAATGCTCTGAGAGATGATGTTTTCTGATCATATTAAACTGATCATTTGTTGGTACATATGCTGAATCTTATACAGCACAAAGCAGAAACTCATTATAAATAAATGGTCCAACTTAATTAGTATGTAGCTTAAAAATGCTATAGTCTGTAAAGAAAGTAACGTAAAATGTAAAAGTGGAAGAGAAAACAAAATGAAGAAAACATATTCTAGTCCTGATTAGATGATTTCAAAAGGATATGTTACTTTTGGAGTGGTTATTTGAACAAGTAATTGAAAAATCATTAATAGTGTCTTACCTGCAACTGTCAATGTGGATATTTTTCACTGCCTTGGATGGGATGAAAGATCCCCAATTATTGATTTCTATAACTTCTATGCAGCCAGTAAAATTCTCAACTGGTCCAGAAATCTGAGAGGGAGGAAGATAAGGAGGGAGAGAGAAGAAGAGAAGCAGAGAGAGAAAGAGAGAGAGGGTAATATATATTATTTCTACAATGTATTATTCTTGCTGCAAACTAATCAGAGATGACAATCAGATTGGGGGGGTCTGATTTTATTTATTCAATATATTGGTAGAAATTAATACAACTCTTTCATAAATATTATTCTAAAAATTAGTAGGAAAGATTACCACTTTAGTCAAAAATTACTTGGAATCTGTATCTTACCATGGTATGAATTACACAAAGTCACTCATATGAATAAAGAAACCATTTTCATCATTTATTGTAACATAGGAGAAAAGCTGATACACTCATCTTATCCATCAAGAAGTTACAATCTTCCATCTTTTGCCTCTGTTCCATGTACTTTTTCTTTTGACATTAGTTACCTTACCCCATCCACAGCTATGGAACATCAAGAAAAATTTCTCTTTCCAGGGGCAAAGGAAACACAGAATAAGCTACAAATATTTGTCACATCCTGTAGCCCTGATGCATTCTGCATGCCTTTTGTGTTCAGTTGTGTTGTTTATTCTTTTTAGGAATAACTGGTGCAAAAAAAGATATCCAGAAAGATTGCCAAAGAGCAAAAAGAGAAAATTACCTTGGAAAGCATTCATTTTGATGAACAAATATAGCCTCTTAAAGAGACATGACTTCTCATTGTATTCACTGTGAATATGCAGTACGACACCAGTAATTATATGTCTATATAAATTTACATTATATTCAAAAAAGAAATTAGAAAAACTAAAAGGATTCAATAGTTAGAAATGAGTATTTATTTCAGGTTCTATCTTCTGTTTCTCAAAATTATTAAAAATTCAAGCTAAGGTGGAACAAATCATGACCAGGGCAATCATTGAATTTAGACACTGAAAAATAAGTTGTCCACCTTGATATCTGAATTACTAATATACACTGTTCACATTCTCAAGACTTGGCTTCTCATTGAGTGTAACATCAGAAAGAAAGAAAAAGAAAGAAAACAAGAAATCAAGAAAGAAAGAAAGAAAAAGAAAAACATAGATGGGAGGAAGAAAGGGAGGATGGAAAGAAAGAGAGAAAGAAAGAAAAAGAAAAGAAAGAAGGGAAGAGAAAGAAAGCAAGCTTTTGCCTTGTATAAACATTTTTTGGGTGAATGAATTTTATTTCATCTTTTAACTTGAGTCTTAGTTTTAAAACTCTTAAACACTTTCTTCCTCTTTCTGATGTAGGCTCAAATATACTGCAAATCCTCTCAGCAAGTAACACTCTGTCAAGCGTCAAAGATGACTGAATTAGAAAACAAAATAGTATTTCAAAAAGAAGTCAGCCGATAACAAGGAAAATAGAAACATTTGGCTCTTACGTACTGCAGAAGAGAAAATATTTATTTGTAATTGTTAGCTTAAAGTTTTATGGACCTCATAAATGGTTTTGTTTTAGAAATTTAATTTTTTATTTTTATCATAATATTTTTAACACCTTTATTGGAGTGTAATTGCTTTACAGTGGTGTATTATTTTCTGCTTTATAACAAAGTGAATCAGCTATACTTATACATATATCCCCATATCCCCTCCCTCTTGCGTCTCCCTCCTACCCTCCCTATCCCATCCTTCTAGGTGGTCACAAAGCACCGAGCTAATCTCCCAGTGCTATGCGGCTGTTTCCCACTAGCTGTCTATTTTACATTTGGTAGTATATATAAGTCCATGCCACTCTCTCACTTTGTCTCAGCTTACCCTTCTCCCTCCCTGTATCTTCAAGTCCATTCTCTACATCTGTGTCTTTATTCCTGTCCTGCCCCTAGGTTCTTCAGAACGTTTTTTTTTTTTTTTTTTTGCAGTACACGGGCTTCTCACTTTTCTGGCCTCTCCCATTACGGAGCACAGGCTCCAGACGCACAGGCTCAGCAGCAATGGGTCACGGGCCCAGCCGCTCCATGACATGTGGGATCTTCCCAGACCGGGGTATGGACCCGTGTCCCCTGCATCAGCAGGCGGACTCTCAACCACCAGGGAAGCCCTATTTTTTTTTTTTTTTAAATTCCATATATATGTGTTACCATACAGTATTTGTTTTTCTCTTTCTGACTTCACTCTTTATGACAGACTCTAGGTCCATCCACCTCACTAAAAATAACTCATTTTTGTTTCTTTTTATGACTGAGTAATATTCCATTGTATATATGTGCCACATCTTCTTTATCCATTCATCTGTCGATGGACACTTAGGTTGCTTCCATGTCCTGGCTATTGTAAATACAGCTGCAATGAACATTGTGGTACATGACTCTCTTTGAATTATGGTTTTCTCAGGGTATATGCCCAGTAGTGAGATTGCTGGGTTGTATGGTAGTTCTAGTTTTGGTTTTTTAAGGAACCTCCATGCTGTTCTCCATAGTGGCTGTATCAATTTACATTCCCACCAACAATGCAAGAGTGTTCCCTTTTCTCCACACCCTCTCCAGAATTTATTGTTTCTAGATTTTTTGATGATGGCCATTCTGACTGGTGTGAGGTGATATCTCATTGTAGTTTTGATTTGTATTTCTCTAATGATTAATGTGTTGAGCATACTTTCACATGGCTGTTGGCAATCTGTATATCTTCTTTGGAGAAATGTCTATTATCACAATTTTTTAATATTATCCTCTGTCAAGTTTCAAAAATGACTGAATTAGAAAACAAAACAGTTTTTCACAAAGAAATCAGTTGATTCCAAGGAAAATAGAAACATTTGGCTATTACATGCTGCAGAAGGGAAAATATTCATTTGTAATTGTTAGCTTAAAGTGTTTATGAGTCTAATGAATGGTTTTGTTTTCCAAATTTAATTTTTTAAATTTTTATCTCAGTTATACATGAAGCTTCTTTTTAAAACTTAAAATAAAATTTACATATACTACTCCTAAAGCATCATAAACGTGAACTAGTAAAGTTTAAATTAAAAACTGAAAAAAAATTGATCTTAGAAAAATGTTTTTGATTGTAATGATTGTGAATGTTAAACTTTATTTTGACAAAGCTAAGCAATGGCATGATTTCAGTGCATATTTAAGTAGACAATTTTCTCTATTCATGAAGATCTTTATTATTTCTGACAATGAAGAGTACAAAGAAACTTTTAGCTTTAAAAATAAATATGAAGCCACCAGAGAGCTATACAAAATGTTCTGAAGGAAAATTATTCTGATTATTCTATTGAGAAACTTCTTGGAATTCTATGATTCAGTTTCATTCATGTAAATTAAAAATAAATATTAATTTATTCATCTTGGTCTTTGAAAATAGCAAGAAAAATTTCCATGGCCTTTAAACTTGAACAAATTCAAAATTCTTTCATTTCTTATTTATTAATAAACTCACAACTCTCCAATTCTCTCACACATTAACTTCTGGCTATCTTGTTCAGAGTTATTTGGTCTTCAAATTCTCATATAAGTCTTTTTCACTTTGAATATGAAAATTTTATTTTGCAAAACATAAGTCAAATGTGTACCCAGAAATACTAAATCTAAATACTAAACTCCAATCACATGAACTTTAGATAATTTCTAGTGTTGAAAAATTTTTTTCCCTTGAATTTGATTAACATATAGTAATCTGGTTAGTTAGGTTTCCAGGACAAAAGTAATACGGAAATGTAATGTGCCTAATTGATGTGAGCAGTTACAACAAAACAATATATAATAGTTTCATTAAGGACAAGAAATACTGAATCACTTAGATTATAGAAATGATAATTTTGCATGTTACCTTTCTTCCAAAGAGAAAATTTTTTTATACCCACATATACTCCTGCAACTTCTTGAATCCAATTCTTATTTTTATTCAAGACAAATAATGAAAATATGACTCCCAGTTATTTCTAAACAGTATAAAATGGCAATGTGGTATGCCATCACACTGAATCAGGAATATGATTTGTGGTACTGACCAGTGTTAGCAGAATTCTCTTTATTTTTTTCCTTTCAAACTTGTGCTGTCTCAAAATTATATCTTCAATATATTCTCATTTTTCTACCTCCATATTAACAGAAAAATATTTAATTCTATCTCTGGCATTTCCTGGCCTTTGCTCTCACTCCTTTAAAGAGAGTTGAAGTCAGGAATTTTCCATACTGTATAAACAAGGCTTCATGTTAATATTCAATAGCAGGTACACAAAGTTCAGATAGGAGAATCACATGGGTATAGTTTACACTGAGTATACAATCTTCTAAATTTACAAATAAACACTTTTAAATGCAAATATATGATTTTTTAAATTATTTTTTAAATGCCTAAACATTTAATGTTATGCAAAAAAAGTTATAGAAATGAGGAGAGTGTTCATTTTTTTGTTGTCCTCACTTAGTACACACACAATTACTTGCATATATGGATTCTTGGTTAAACTGCTATTAAGTGGTAATATTAATGACTAGTTTCCTATATTCCTAGTCAGTAATTTATAATTTTCAATTTACATTATGTCACTTATGTTTTGAAATGATTCTTCAGTGCACCTACTGTAACTAATTTGACCAAATGCAAGTGACCTTTTAGGCTAGTGGACTTTAAAAAACAACAAATTTTGTTTGAAAGCAATTAAGAAATAGTCAATTGGTATTACAAAAACAACTCCCAATAGTTTCCCCTTTCTTTTGATTGCTTTATCAATTACTCTATTTCTTTGATTTTTTAAATTTAATTTAATTTTTAATTTTATTTATTTATTTATTTTTATTGGAGTATAATTGCTATACAATGGTGTGTTAGTTTCTGCTTTACAACAAAATGAATCAGTTATATATATACATATGTTCCCATACCACTTCCCGCTTGCATCTCCCTCCCTCCCACCCTCCCTATCTCACCCCTCCACGTGGTCACAAAGCACCGAGCTGATCTCCCTGTGTTATGTGGCTGCTTCCCACTAGCTATCTACATTATGTTTGGTAGTCTTTGCTTTTAATAAGAAGGTCTTAGGTACACTA